ATAATAATAATATTATACAGACCCGGCAAGACAAGCAAACAATACAAAAGGATTAATGTGAAAATTTAAGAATGCCACTATTTCCCATTTCTAATCATATTCTTCAAAGGTAATCATTATTAAATATCCTCTATGCTCACATAGACATATCTGTATTATCTATGCATTTCTTGTATGACACAAATACAATCACACTGTACTGTTTTGCAAACCTTCTCACTTAAAAATATCCTGTGGCATCTTTCCATGTTAATATACAGAGCTCTACCTTCTTTTGGATACCTAATTCCATGGCATAAATATATCATCATTTATTTATCCAGATGCACATTGATGACATTTAGATTACTCTCATGTTGTTTTAATTGTTACACAGAGCCAAAATTTAAGTTCTTATAATTCTTTCAATAATTTTTCTTCTGGAATCATTTGGAATAAACCTAATCTATCATTTAATAGCTCTTTAAACATTTGAAATCACTATCGTATCATATAGGGAGCAAATGGGAAAACACATGAAAGGAAGGTTTTGAGTCATAATCACTAGGGGAAATGATTTCCTTAAAAAAAAAAAATCTGTCTGACAACACAAATGGTGCCTAAATTATGGTCTATGAAGTTGATGGGGTAGTATACAATGATTAAAAACATGAAGACTCTGTAGCATGACACATGGTATGATGTTAAGTGAAAGATGACATGCAGTTGCATGTGAATGGACATTAACTACGAAATATGTCTGCATATGAAAAGGAGAGAAATAGTCAACTTAGAAGTAGCTGAGTTAGGGTGAAAAGAGCATGGATCATCATTTCCTTTCAAAATATCCTTTAATATTTTGTAATTTGGCTTGTACAATTAATGAAGAAAGACAAAATGATAGCTATATTAGGAAGATCAAGATCCTCATTCTTAGTTTCAAGGGCCTCGCCTCAAGGCTCCCTTTACTTTCGTCCCAGATTATCTGGGAGGTATCAGCCCTTGTAGTAAATAACCAGGTCTTTGAACTCTTGACAGCAAAGATACAATCAGCAAACAAAGCTTGACAGGAACAGAATGGAATGGAAGGAAAGGGGTTAGAAAGGAAATTGTCCCTGGAAAGGAGCAACCAGGAAGAGCTCCAACTAGGCCACCCCACAGACCATCCAGCGCTACCGGGTTTGTTCTGTTGCCACTTGAGTAAAGAACTGGTACAGATTTCCAGATCATATGATTAGGGCAATCTGGGGTCCAAAAACTCAAGGGAAAAATTAACATCTGGGTACTTAAGGAGGAACTGGTCATGGTCCTAAGCCCACACAAAAAGTCCCCAATTTAGGAATTTAAAGCCTCAAGGTCTGGTCACAATAACAATAGAGATATATTTAAATTCATAATCACTCACTTTTCCCCCAAAATTCCATCCATTATTTTACAATGATTAATCGCTTGGACAAACCAAAGTTGCAATGGCATTTTGTTGTTTTTTTTCCAGTATTCCTTATTTGGATCATAATATCCAAATATTTTGCAAATCACTGGCCTGTGCTAAATAATGACAGACAAAGCACTAGTGAATAAAAATAATGATTACTTATTTTGGTTTCTGTGTGACTTTGGCATGAAAGGGTGTTTATTTACAATGCCACAACATCACCTTGGTTCTGGAGAGAGTGGCATATGTGCTCTGGCTGCTCAAACATTAACTACTGATGAGTCACATTTGCAGCTGAGAACTCACTAGAAAAATGGGAGCAGAAACACTGATGCTTGTAAGTTAGGAATAAGCTCTAGTGTTCATGCTCACACTTGTAATGAAACTTGGTGAAATCTTGTCCATGTTCTTGTGAACTGATCTACTTTAAAAGTAAATTTCCTTTTTTCAATCTTCATGGAATATTCTTAATAATAATTTGGCAGAAATCTAAAAAAGAAATACTTACCAATCTTTCTAACTTCATCTTGTCAAGGAAATACTTCCCAACTGCCTACTATGTCAAAGAAATATGTCGGGCTTCGAGATACCTTTGAGACCCAAGGGTGAAGAAGGTACAAGCCTTGTTCACAAGGAGCTTATAGTCTTAATGCAGTGGGGTGTGGGAGGGTGATACGCAATTAAAATTTTAAAATGGTCAATACCCAATCATTAGTAACAGAATCAGGATTGAAAAAATCCTAATACTTAGTAATAATGGGATAAAATGACATTTAAGAGGCTTTGGTGCTCAAAATTAATTATATAAGCACAAAATGAAGAAAGCCTTGGTTTATGGCAGCTTACATAAAAAAGCTATAAAGGTCTCAGATGAATAAACTTCAGAAACACATAAAAGTCAACTATGTGAAATAGCTGTTAAAATAGCTAATCTAAATTAATAGAAATATTGTGCCCAGATCAAGGAAGATAATAATCCCACTGTCTCCACTATCTCAGAGTTACCAGTGCTGTTTTACGAGGCTCATTTAACAGGAACATCACAAAACTAGGAGTATGTGTGTACGCTTGCACATTCATGCTTGCTAGTGGAACAATGATTATGAAATATCTATAAATCATATTATGCAAAAAGATTGAAGGAATTGAAGACATGTGGCTTAATAGAAGACTTGGAGGTGAGTGGTGGAGGGGGCAGCATATAAGGGTTGTGATGAATGCCCTTGAGCTGCTGCGAACAAAGGGCTCAACTGTATTTCATGGAAATAAATAGGCAAATTTTGACTCAATATGAAGAGCTTCCAATACCTTGGGCTTTCCAAGAGTGAATTACCTTAAAGGGTGGTAAACTCTATGGCTAGTCATAATCAAGCAAAAATGTATGACCATTTGTTAAGAAAACCCTAGAAACTATTTTTTTTAAGGTGGCATAATTTTTTTTAAATTAAAGTATCATTGATATACAATCATATTGGTTTCAGATACACAATACAGTGATTCAACAGTTACCCATATTATTAAATCCTCATCCCTTCCAATGCGGTCACTATCTATCAATGTAGTAAGATGTTACAGAATCATTAACTGTATTCTCCATGCTGAACTACCATCCCTGTTACCAACCTATATAATGATTGCAAATTATTGTGCCCCTTATTCCCCTCCCCAGCCCCTCCCTTTTCGTAACCACTAGTCCCTTCTCAGTGTCTATGAGTCTACCGCTATTTTGTTCCTTCTGCCTAGAAACTATTGTTAGTGCTGGGTAGCAATCTTAACTGATCTCTAAAGCTCTTCCTATCTTGGAAAAGCATGTGGATATCTTTTCAGCTGCAGGCATGAATATTAAGATGACACCCTCCACAGCTGTTTTAAGAACAATGGACAATCTCAAAAAGAAAAGAGGTCAGGAATCACAGATGAGCTTTATTTAAGACCTAAAAGGCTTTGTGGCTTTTAGATGATTGTCAGAAGAGGTACTGGGAGAGAGACCACTACAACTGATGCAATGGATACACCAATCTCTGAGGTTCCAGTTTTTCCTTGCTGCCTTAAGTGAAAGGCAATTTTTTAAGCCCCCTTTCCTCCAGTGCTCTCCTTAGTTAGTTTTTGTTTTCAGTAAATGGAGAATGCTGAAACTTCAAGAATCTGAAGTGCTCTCCTGTGTTTGGAGAGAGTATAAACCCAGCAACCCAGATGTTATTCCTACATACAAGCTCATGAGATTTTGTGGCTCCATAGTGAAAAGGGAAGACTGGCCTGATCTGATGGGTCTATCTGGAAGGGCTTACAGAGGAAATCCTGCAAACTGGCTTTGGCCACTTTCCTCACACTCACTCAAACTTCAAACTTGGCTGGTTCTAGCATGTTTTTACCTACACCTTAGATTTGTGAGACAAACATGTTTATCATATGTGAGATGTCATAACTGTCACCTTGAAATGTATGAAACCAGGAACAACACAACAGCCAACTTTAAAGTTTAGTTGGCAAAACTAAAGACAAGTTTCAACTTATACATATATCCTGTGAACTTAGTTGCCAATCTTAAATCCTAAGCTGGGAACATTCCATATTTAAGGATACAATCAATGAACAAATATATACTAAGAGGCTACTGTAAGCAAGAACTCATGTTAGGGTCTTGAAAGACAAATGCCCATTCTGGCCTCCCCAGTTATGACTATGGCTCACTATTGCCATGGTCAGGGTGTAAAATGACTTGAAAAACACACACCAGCTCATATAATTCCATACACTCTAGCAAGTGAAACTCAAATTCCTTCAATCGTACCTTCAATAGTGATACTTGAAATAGAAACCATGTTTCAGTCATTCACTTAAAACTGTCACACTGAAGAAAGCATAAAGCAGAGAAATGTCCATCAACGTCAAACAATGAAACTTCATGCTGAAGGACTTCATCTTCTGCGAGAGGTATCCTTTAGGTATAGTTACCTTAAGGTTGGTAACATTTGCTTACCAGGTTATTTTTCAGGAAGCCAGTAAGATATTTCACATATTAGAGCTTTTACATTGAAAAAAAAAAAAGGCATGTTTTTAAAAATTATAAACTGAATTTTAAAAAATCCTCAAAGGCCATGGGTTATTAAAATCAACAGGGCTTCCAAATTAATGAGAACTCTGGATACAATGACAGTGTTACAGTATTTCTGAATATAAATTTCAGTATGTCTTTTTTAAGGATATATAATCTCAATGTGGTAAAATATACATATAGTTTGCAACACCAAGCTCTCCTCCTTTCTTTGGTATACATAAAGAAATGAAAAGAGAATGACTCAAGTACCAAAAGCACCATCCCACACTGAGTATTTCAGGCGGGTGAAAGAATTCAAAAGTTGGTTTGTGGGCACAGGCACCACATCACAGCCAATCATCTCAACTTCCCCTCCAGGAGCCAGAGAGTAAAGTTGCTTTTTAATTCACTTTGTTAATTTATTTATCCAGCAAGCAGGGGAGATATGTGGTCTAGTAAAAAACGTAAAGTTCACAAGAAAATCTGCAAATTTTAGGGTTTCCAGCTAAGCTGTATGCTAAGCAAATGGAGAAAATAGACTTGACTTACCTGCACTGCCGAGCTGTTTATAAAACCTGTATTCTAAATGAAGCTGTGGAGCACGTGATTTTATTGGTTCCTGAAACCCAAGAAGAGAAGTTGTGATCAGATTTAGACAAATAGGGTTTTTCCATTCTTAGGTTTGCAGAGTAAGCCAGGGGGGCTAAGACCACTTAGTATTTCAGAGATGATCCATTTATGACAGCATTTTAATACCACAATTTCTCTTTGAAAACACAGGTAGGGGAAGATGAAGCTGAGTTATATACAATGCCTTCCATGGATATTTAAATAAAAATGCTCTGTATGAGCCATCAATAAAAATACTCTGTATGAGCCATCATTCAAGGATAGCACCCTCACCATGAAATGTTCTACTGAAATGTATTTTCCTAGGAAACCAGATGCCAAACCTTTAATTAAATACCAGCATATATTCCCTGCTTGTTTTATTATGGATTTTGGGTGGTAAAAAGTGTTTTTAGAAAAACAATACTCAGGAAAAAAATTTCAATAAATAAAAATCAGGAAGAAAGTGAAAATAACCCAAGATCCTATCTTAGATTTAAAGAGAAACACTATTTAAATTTTGGTGAATGTCTTCCAAATATTTATTTATACATATATGATATAGACCCAAAAGTATATTTGAAATAACTGAAGTCATACTACATTTGCTGTTCTGTAATGTGCCTTTAAATTCAACAATATGATGACATTTCTGATGGTAGTAAATAAAGCTGTAGATAATTCATGGCTGTAGTATTCCCTGGAATGTGTGTGTGTGTGTGTGTGTGTGTGTGTGTACACATATACACCACAGTTCTTTAACATGACTGTTCTCAGTTTTCAGTATTACGAATAATGCTACAGGAACATTCTGATGGATATTTATTTTCACACTTAAGAGAATTAAAGATTGTAAATGCAATTAAAATATGTAACTTCACCTATCATGGTGAATATTTCCTAGTGTATGTAATTGACAAATCCCTAAATTGTGCACATGAAACTAATACTGTATATCAACTATACTTCAACTTAAAAAGTAACTTTAATCAATATGAGTTCAAGTTTTCAAAAACAGAGATCAGACCCCAAGAGATAAAGCAGGCAAACTACCATACTCTGTACTACAACAAAATTTAACAATTTGCAGGTTAATTATTCTGAATTCACAGTACATGAGCAACTAATTAACAAGAAAATCAAACAGTACCCTAAAAGATATATCTGCGTATCCATTAGGAAGGCTATTATCAAAAACACAAAAAACAAGTGCTGGTGAGGATGTGGAGAAAGTGGAACCCTTGTGCACTGTTGTGTATAGCTGGAGCAACTACTGTGGAAAACAGCATGGTAATTTCTCAAAAAATTAAACATACAATTACCATATAATCCAGCAATTCCAATTCTAGATATAGACCCAAAAGAACTGAAAACAGGGAGTAAAACTGATATTTGTACACCCACATTCATAGCAGCATTCATAATAGTCAAAAGGCGCAAGTGACCCAGGTATCTATCAACAAATGAATGGATAACAAAACGTGGTTACATTTTGTTCCACATATATGATGGATTATTATTCAGCTGTAAGAAAAAAGGACATTCTGACACATGGTACAACATGGATGAACTTTGAAGACATTATGCTAAGCAAAATAAGCCAGACACAAAAGGACAAACACTGCATGCCGCCACTTATATGAGGTACCTAGTCAAATTCAGAGACAGAAAGTTGAATGGTGGTTGCCAGGGGCTGGGAGAAAGGAGGAGTGAGGAATTAGTGTTTAATGGGTACAGAATTTCAGTTGAGGAAGTTGAAAAAGTGAAGGAGATGGATGGTAGTGATGGCTGCACAATAATGTGAATGTACTTAATGTTACTAAACCGTACACTTAAAAATGGCTATAATGGTAAATTCTAGATATCAATTCCTTATCAGATAAATGATTTTCAATATTTTTCCCCATTCCATGGGTTGTTTTTTCAGAGTCTTTTGATGTACAAAGTAAGTTTTTAATTTTGTTAAAGTTCAACTTCTCTTTCCTTGACTGTGTTTTTTGTCACATAAAAGAAATCACTGCCAAATCCAATGTCATGAAGCTTTCCCCCTAAGTTTTCTTCTAAGAGATTTATGGTTTTAGCTCCTGTGTTTAGATCTATGATCTACTTTGAGTTTGTTTTTATATATGATGTAAGGTAAGGGTCCAACTTCATTGCATATGATTATTTAGGGATATTTTCCTAACACCATTTGTTGAAAAACTGTCCTTTCCCAATTGAATAGTAACAGTCCTAATTTTAAGACAGGCTCAAAGGAGGGAGATTCCACAGCTTCCCTTGATTATTCCTGCTGGTGTTTAACAAGTTTCATGATTTGGAAAGTCTTTCTACGTCATTTAAATCTCTGCAACCGAAATCACACCTATTTCTTCTACATCCTCAATAACAAGATAAAATAGCTCCTCAATAAGCTGTGAATATTGTAACAGCTATCTTCAAATAACAAATCTATTCAATTGCTTCTTAGACTTCTTTTTATTTAAATAAGGCAAAGGAATTTCAATTCCTTTAACCTTTCCTCACTAATCCTATTTTTTAGTCCTTTGAACATCTTTGAAGACTCTTCCTGTACCACTGGAAGTTTTCTGCATTTTTCTAATGGAATCCATTAAGTCACAGAATTCAGAATTTCCTCAAAGTTATCTAGTCTATCCCTTTGCTTCTAAGAAGGTTTTATCTAAACTCAGGCAGACTGGAATATTCCATATCCCTAAGGAGTTCTATGAAAGAAGAACTTACACCTTTCTCTAATTGTAAAATCAGCAGTCATTAGAGTTGGACTTCAAGTTTCTCGAGATTCTTGCAGTCAAAAGAAAAGTATGTAAGACTAATTATACTGTAGAGTCACTTCCATTTTCATGTACCTCTTCATTAAGGGAGGGATCACTCTTGAGAATCTCTTCCACTATATCACCATCAGAGCCGCCAAATTATAGAAATTACAGAATTTGTCCTTTAGCAAAATCACTAATAATTCATAAGAAACCAAACAGAAACAGTGATGACAAATTAATATGGAACTAAAGCTTGCTCTAAACACTAGAAAGAGGAGTGTTCTTTCTGTAGAAACAATCTTTGGGGATTCTGACAAACCAAAAGGGACAATGAATTAAAAAAAACACAGATCCTTCTTCAAACATAACACGGTTGACCCTTGAACAATGCTGGGGTTAGAGACTCTGACCACCCGCCCAGGTGAAAATCTGCATATAACTACTGACTCCCCCAAAACTGAATTACTAATAGCCTTCTGTGACCAGAAGCCTTATTGGTAACATAAAGAGTCAATTAACATATTTTCTATGATATATGCTTTATATACAGTGTTCTTACAATAAATTAAAGAAAATGTTTTTTCCAATTGTCACAGATATCCAAAATTTTTTCCAATATATTAATTGAAAAAAATCTGTGTATAAGTGGACCCAGGCAGTTCAAATCCATGTTGTTCAAGGGTCAACTGTACTCTCAAACTTTCTACTGGAAATCTGTATAGGAAATACTCAATCTAATCTTGGATAACTAAGTTAGTAGGTAAACAAGGCAAAAATTCTTTAAAAGAGTTATAGGGCTGACAGCGGGTGTACATGTCACATATATTCAGATATAAGAGGGTTTTATTACAGATAGAAGGACTTACACCCTTCAGCCAAACCCTTCAGCACATAGACAGATGTAGCCTGCTCAGCCAGTTGGAGCTTCAAGGTGCTCTTCTGGAAGCACTATGAATAAAGGACATTGCCAACACTCAGTCTATAGCTTGTGGAAGATTGGTTCCTTTTTTTTAAAACAGTTCTTAGAAAACCTGTGTTAAAAAGAAACCAAGAAATCTCAGTGATGGGAGTAAAGGATGGGCTCATTACACTATTTTATACTGTATATGATTTTTAAAAGAAATCCAAGAAACAAGAGCCACAATGACGATCCAAACCAAGTAGAATTGAAACAGTGGCAGCAGAGCTTCCTGTGCTTCTGTGCCAGATGCTGATTACATTTCCATGGATGGCCGGCTATTTGCCAGAATCCTTCTGGAATGCACATGCCTGTCTGAAATCCTAAACTGACAGCAGACAGCTACTCGGCAGGACTATAATGCTTAAGGCGACATATTGCTGCCACAATGAAAAGGGCAGATCACCCACAGAGAAGACACCCTGAAAGCAAGAGGAGAAGCCCATAGAAAAGGCTGTTATCTTCTAAAAAGCCTTTATTTAAGATTTATCTGAGAGAAAAAGGAGCTGAGACACACCATACTAGATGACATGAAGTCTATTTTTAGCTTTAACTCTTGGCCGTACAGAGTGGAAACAAAGTTTAATTTAGAGAGAAAGAACTGCCCCTAACAGATTCAAAAGGAGTCTTGCAAATAAAGGGGCATTAACAAATATACAGTATTGAAGCAATATTTCAAAGTGTTTTAGGGGCTGCTTCTTCCTGTTACTAGGCTCAAAGAACCGAAATTATTTCAACTTACCAAAGGAGTAAAAGTGAAAAAGCAAAAAGATGAACCAGTGTACATTTTTACAGAATAATCAAATGCCTATAAAAAAATGTGGCTTATCTTTTGATATTCGATCTGAGAAACTATTTGGTAGGCATTGTTACAGGTATTACCTCTCTTCCTGCTCCCATTTCTCCATCAAGAGTTCCAAGTCAACAAACAAAAGAAAATACTTGGTTCCCTAGTAGCTCCGGGCTCTGTGCCCTGCCCCTGTTTGCTTCTTTGTAAAGAAGCCAATCTGATAACTGTCAGTTCTTCACAAGACAACCCCATCTCCTCTACAAACTGACACATTGAGTAAGAAGGGACCAACCACAGGGCAGGTACGGATGTGGTAAGTGTAATTCGTGAGAAGAAAAGAGCATTATCACAATTTATTACAAGATACTTCCGTCAACCATTAACTTCCCTGCCTTCCAACTAATAAAGCCTCAAACTAACTGCAAATTGGGAACCTTATGAGGATAAACATTTATACAGGTTCACAGAAACTAGTCATATGAAATATTTCATATGACTAGAAATAACTTGTCAACCTTAAAGATAAGATAAAGAATTGTTTCTTCTGAAATTATGAATCCTCAAAAATTATGTGTATTTTAACAGAATGTTATTTTTAATGATGAGGTTAATCGTAAGATTAGTAATGATGAAACCAATTGAACTCTGCTTCAAATTTTCCACATGATGTGTTTTTCACGGTTGACAGCTTTTTAAGGCAATGATTAGATATTCAGATTTGGTTCTCTACTATGAAGTATATCAATAAATACCTTACATTTTTTAAATGGGTCATATTTAAGAAAAAGAAACGATTAAATCTTCACATGAATTTATCTTTTAAAACTGTATTGTAAATGATACGAAGTTCACATAAACTACTAGTCTTCCAGTGATATTTTTCCTTCCAGCTTTCTTTTACTAAGCATTTTTTATTCATCTTTGCCAACACTACAGTTAGCATCATCTAACTATACAGGGTTATATAGTATTACAGTGATTCATCACCATAACACTAAATATAGTTGAAGGAAAATGATTATGTAGGATCATATGCAAGGGAAAGAAAACACTGGCATTTTTGTGACTGTTTACAACTATTTTCTATAAAAAGGTATGTGAGGGGTAAGAGCACCAAAACATAATTACCACAAATACAGATTCTACTCACCAGTTTGATAGCTACATATTCATTGGTGTAGAGATTTTTACCTAGGGGAAAAGCAGAATGTATATGTTTTAGTGACATTTATTCTGGGAAATGCAAAGCAAAATCTAAGTTTACAGGGTCATGAGAAAGGTCACATTCCCAATGCTGTTCACATATAGGAAACATGATTTATAAGTGAAAAGTTAAACAGAGATAATGACCCAGCAAGACAAGAACAGAACAGCTTGAGAATTTGGAAATTTAAGTTAGATAGGAGAATTTTTTTTAAAGAAGAAAACGAATGTCTTTCTCTCTCTCATACACACTATATTTTCTTATTTAATATTTCCCAACTATTAAGCCCTGAGCCAAACCAAGAAGAAATGCCAGATTTTTAAAGATACAGAGATTTAACTCCTGGTATAATGAGCACAAACCTTCATTTTTCTAACTCACTGACAAATGGAGATTTTATATTTTTTCTTATGGTGTTTAGTGTCAACTTTAGTTGTCATGAAGGACAGGGTGAAACAAAGCCAGCTACTGCCATACTCTCCTTTTGGAAAACTCATCTGTCTGTAAGCAGATGATTCTCAAAGCTGCTCTGATTCTTTACTAGACGCCTTGCCCTGTACCTTCAGGTGCAAGAAACAGCGCTCTGGCTGGACAACCCTGAAACATCTCAAAGCTCTGCTTGAAACAGTAATGAATTTTCCCCCCAACTTCTCTTGGATAAATAGAATTAATATTCTCCTAGACATCTAGAGTAAGAACTTGGAGGGACAGTGAGGATGAGAGCGCCGACTGCCTCTCACTGAGCCCGTGCTGCAGGCCGAGTACTTGGCTACTTTTACCTCCCTATCCCCATTGATTCTTGAAGGGTCATTTTAGTCCCTCCTGAGTGTTCAGTATATACCACACAGTTTGGCCACTGATTGGACTTCACATTGCTTCTTACAGGTTAATCCTATCTTAGTCAGCTAGACTATAAATATCTTGATAGGGATTTTATCTAATAGTTCTCTCAATGCCCTATGGTGCTTAAGACCATCCTCGGTACATCTCAGACACCCAAAACACTGACTGATTAAGTTATTGGTGTGTATAGTATGACTACTTCTAAATAATACACAGAGGCAAATTTATATATATATATATACACACACATATATATAAATTTTTTATATGTAGACATATATACATATGTACACATTTGAATATATGCATGGAAGAGGATATAGAAAGATGCACATTAAGGTATAAAATGGCTGTTTCTTAGCATTTTCTGATTTTTATGTAATATATTTTTATAATTAGAAAAAAAAACTTCATTTTGGGAACAAAAAGCTGCTTGTGATAAAAGGAATTATTTTTACCAAGCTCTAAACAACAGATGGCCCTTTGCAAACTACACCATTATACTTTTAATACTGTTCTCAGGTTGCTGGGTACCTTTATGTATCAAAGAGCACATTAATTTAGGAATAATTTTTGTCTGCAAGTAACACAATAAAGAGGACACACAGACTGCCAAACACCTAAGAATCCATCACAAGACGAACAACTTCTTTTTGAGAGGAGCAAAAGTAGAAAATAGGCAATTTTATCTATCAATTACATTAAAGCTTTGAAAAGTTCACTTGTGTTTCTAATTCTTTTAAAATGTATTTGATGAGACTGTGAGAACACTAATAACCGGGAGAGGGACAGAGGAGGCAGTGGTTACCTGCCTCCAAGAGGACTGAGACGCCAGCCAGGCCACAGGCTTCTTCCCCAGCAGACATGACGTCACACAAAGATATTTGCAGGAGCCCTTCCTAGCACTGCTTAAGCACTGTTACTTTGACCTAAAACCAATTTCAGCACAGGATGTACCCTACGAACTTAGTATCACTTAGATGTAAATGGTAAAGTTTAAAATTGTCAGTGTGTTAAAGGGTCTTTCCGAGTGTTAGCAATAAGAATTACTGGGGGGAAGGGAAGTAGGGCCACCAAAATTCACCTCTTACTGGAGTACAACATGCCTTCACTGGTAAACAATCAACTTAATATTTGAAGTAAAGACCTGAAGTAACAGATCTTTAATGCAACAAATCGAACATTCAAAGTGAAGTGAGGTGATGGTACAAGTGTAAGTAGAGTAATAACCTGAATTCTGATCTGTGAGCAAGAAAAGAAAGAATGAAATCTCAGGAATCTCAAGAAGGAAATTATTTTCTTTCTTCCTCCTCTCTCCCGCCTCCCCCCATGCTTAAAAGATGAGTAGGGTTTTAACAGTTTGCAGAAAGGGAAAGGCATCTCAGGGGCAAGAAACTGCATGAGCAAACAAACAAAAAATGAGAAAGAAGATGGTATAGGCTGAGAATGGTAGATGATGTGGGGAGGTCTGAAACATAGGATGTATTATAAAGATCCAGAAGGGGCAGGGATGGGCAAGGAGTGGTTAGGGCAGCAAAAGAGATAGTTAAAGGAAGGCTGAGTCCACATTAGCAAAGTCCTTAATGTCTAAAATGAAATGTTTTTTGCATAGGGTAATTACATGATCAGATCTGTGATTCTGAATAAACCATTTGCGACAAAGTATAAAAGATTAACTAGAGAAACAGTATGAGACCAGAGGTAGGGGAAAGTGTTTGAATATTTAATACACATCACATGCAGATATCAGACAATCTAAGATGATTCGCATATAGTTCTCATCCTTCAGAAACTCTGTTCTGGCTCCTCACAGGGCCTTGTACACAGCAATTCAAAAGTTTGTTAAATACATCACATGATGCGAGGAATGTTAAAGAGAAATATGAGCAAGTCTGTAGAGGGGCTTGGTGAGGGAGGGTAAAGCGTTTGAGCACAACTGGCACTTGAGGGGAGCCTTGTAGGACTAAGAGAAGAGAGAAAAAAGGGCATTTCTTACAGAAAAATACTAATTTGAACAGTTAGGTGGAAACATGATAGATAATGCTCAGATTCTGATATACCGTGAGGAGACCAATAGGACCAGAGCACAAGGTATGTGGGCAGAAATGGTGAGAAGTAAAGCCAGAAAGATCCAATGGGGACAAGGTGTGAATAACTTTCGAATGCCAGCTTCTTAATCTGACACATGCACAACCAAGAGTACATGAAGGTGTGCGGGGCACGGGACAACTAAGACAGACACACCTTTCCTGGATCCTCGCTTTATTTTGAAGATTGGGAAAATCTTTTTCATAGTCAAACAGACTTACTGTATTACAGAAATTGTGCACTGATTTCTTCTGAAGAAAAAAATGTAGGAGTTAAAAAAAAAATTCCAGGCACTTGTAGATTTGCTTCTTTCAGAATCCAGGGGGCCTGATTTCAGTGGGTAACCTTTTATTTTCTTTGGGTTCAGCCGGCCAGCTCAGTTTTAATGGTGCAGTTCACTTTTAACAGTGTGAACCTTCCATCTCCTGTGAGGGTAGAAAAGGGGAGCTGCCAGGCAATGTCCAGAGGGAAGGGATTTAGCAATTCAACTGCTTCATATATAAACTTACAACTAAGCTTTCTATTTTTATCTCCTTCTGCATCCCAACTTTTTGAAGCTCCTAGTGTCTCAATTCCTGAGCCTATATGGTGTATCTTATGTTACAAACTGGCCAACTCTTTTAATCATTCAGCTTTCCCTAGACAGCTAAATCAGTTACCACTTAACTATCTGCTTTCCAGCTTCCAAAATTTTGAGGACATTTCTCATGTTTTCATCTTCTCTTCCTTTTTTCTGGTTCCTTGTGGTTTTACACCTTAAAAAAAAATCCTTTTCTAAATATACTTTTTAAAACTGAGGCAGCACCCAGTTCCATAAACTTCTGTATATATTGTAATTAGTTATGTATGTATCTTTTTACCTCCACTAGGCAGTGAATTTCCTGAGGATAAGAACATTCATCTTTCTACCCTAGCAACAAACATAGTACCCGATACACAGTAGGTAACAGATGCTTGCCGAAGTGAACCAAATTGACTTGATAGAGAAGGTTCTGAGAAAGTTCTAAGGCAATACAAAAAAGGCAGCTAGATTAGAATCAGACTATGGGTAATCCTAAAAGCAAACACAGGAGTTTTGACTTCATTATTCAGCTTCTGTGAAATCACCAAAGATCTTGTGCTACGAGAAAAAGCACAGTAGTGGAAATTGTATTTTAAAAATATTAATCTGGCCCCAATGTGTAAGACAAAAGAGATAAAAAAAAAAAAAGAACACCTAGAAAGAAGACAAATAGGAGTTTTATAGCAAAAGACCTAGAGAATAACCCCATGCTGTTATGAGGATTGCATTGAAAGTACTTTGTAAACTGCAAGGTGCTAGATAAATCTACGAGGCAATAATTCCTAATACAAAAAAACTAAAAAAAGAAAAGATAGGATTTATAATCAAGGCATTTCAAAGAAAAAGCTAACAACCTTTGGATTACGTGCAAACATGAGGGATGAAGGAAAGAAAAGGATAAAAAATGATGCTCTTAGTAAAAAACAGAAAGAGAACCAAAACAGTAGACAGTTATCTTTCCACTCTACCATGATGTTCTCCTCCAAGTTCTCACTAAACCTAAAAGTAATAGGTTTAAATTATCAAACACCTCTTGGCTTCGATATCTGTATAAAAGAACAAAATCACAGAATATAATAAATGAGACAGCCTATGTAGCACCAAACATGATGGCCGACACATCACAAAAGGCTGGCTTGCTTGTTTCTGCTGACTCTCTCTGGGGCCACCAAAAGAACTGAACACATGTTACTCTCTTACAAAGCAATTATGCTTAGTCCTAAGAGGCACTGGAGGTGACGGATAACTCTCTTGAGCTGTGATTCACTCAAATGAATTCCTTTGCCAGGGGGCATAATTACCACTGAACAGGCTGACACAAAACACAGCCATGTGGAAGGCTCAATAATTCCTCAGCCACCACCCTGTGATATACAGCACTCAAAAATTTTGCTCTGGAAGAATTTAATTACAAAGACAGAGGCTTAAAATCCTGCCTTTATAAAATGAATGACTGCTTCAGCTAAAAGAAATACACAATAAATCAGTAACTTT